GGCAAGGAATATGCTTTTTTCTTCCTTTTTCCTTTTCACAAAAAATCCATTATCGGCGTTACTTCCGTTCTATACAGCGAGAATGGAGCAGGAGGAAAGTGGATTGGAGAAATTCAGTTTTAGTTAATTACTGCAGCTCTCAAAAGTTATCTAAGAAATTGGGGAGGTGGGAAGTAGAAAAAATTGAAGAGATTAGAGGAGGGGAGAAATGACGGTGATGCGAAGAAGGTGAGAGAAAGACGAGGCTTTTATGGGGGAAGATAAACGGTTAAAAATTACAGTTGAAATTACAGTTGAAATAATTTGTGTAATGAGGAAATAATAGAACAGAAATAAAACAAAGCCATCTGTCATCATGTTGTCATTCGAATGGTGCCAGAATGTCAGTCTCCTTTCATTTATCTTTCCGTTTTTCTTTTTCTAGAATATTTCGCATCCAAGAAAGCTACCCGAAGGCCTGAAAATTCTAGCCGGGTGCAAACATCAGCAACTTTGTCACAAAAAGTGCCATGCAAAGTCGAGGCAAAAAGTTTTGGTCAGTAACGTTTTTTTTTACATTTATCGACCTTTATGTTTGTAGTATACATGCAAATAAATGTCCCGTTGAGTTTCGTAATGACAGCTTCGGTTTAACAGTCCTTTTGTCGCTTACTTTATCAGTTGTCACTCATTTTATCTTGATGGAAGAAGTTTTCTTTTTTTTTTTTAGGTACTGTTACCGAAGAAAAAGAGGTTGGAAGTTAAAGCACGGGGCAAAGTGACCGGCATAAAACTTGGGTGACTGGATATTTCAAATTTTGAACGCTTAAATAAACAGTTACTCTGAAATAATAACAAAATCACTTTTGTTCAACCTTGGAAAGTCGGCAGCAGCAGCATAAGAAGAGGAATAGGGGAAAAAAAAGAAGACCAAGACGAAACCGGAAAGGAAAGTGAGCAAAGCAAAAAGAGGCAGAAGAGTTGAAATAAAAAAAATGCTTACATCAGTACAACCAGTAGACTTACGTAAAAAATTTTATGTCTGTCCTCTTATCCAATCAAAAATTTGGTTTATTTTATTTTATTTTTTGTATTACAAAAATATAATTTGAACAAAATTGAAAGGCGTATGCACAAAATTTTTGACATTTATGTAGTAACATTTTTTTCCGTTGTTGTTGTTGGCGTTTGTTGTTCAAATGATCTATTTCTATTTGCATTTTTACTCGGAAAAACGTATCAAAACAATTAAAGGTGTTTAGTATCAAAAACCAAAAAAAACATTAGGTACAATACGCAAATGAAAAAAAGAAAATCTGTGGAACGATCATGGGTTCATTTTTTTTTTCACCAGAGGTCTTTCTTCGTTCAAATATATTTTAAAGGAACAGCTGGTGGTTACATAATACTGACGTCTGCTGTAATAATGCTAATAACTGTAGTTGCAAATATTGAAAGAGATAGTAAGAATATATCCGTTTATTAGTATTTGTTAATTTAAATGAAAATTTTTACTACTTTTTTAACCTTGCAATCAACTGAAACTAGAAGAAATGAAAATGCTTTTTTTTGGTCATCAACACGCAATTTTTTCATCACTTCTCTACCACCTATAAAAATCTTAAAATTTTTGTTAAAATTTTAAAGAACTGTTACAAGCGTCAAATGATTTATATGCACTGAGGATCGACTTTTTTTGATTGAGTAGCCGATATTGTTGTTGTTATTGCAGTTGTTGTCATCAGTATTATAATTGTACCATGGTCACCATTACTGATATTAGAGTACTTTGGTGCAAATCAAAAAGGTAGAATTGTCTACATTTCTAAAGCTCTAGTGAAACATTCAATTATGAAGGAAACAAGATAGCTGAGAAGTAAGACAAAAAAACTTGAGTACATTTTTTTTTTTACTTTAAAAACTGTACTTCATTGTTTTCACAGTTTTTCTGGTAATTTGCAAAACTTTATCAATGTTTTAAGTTACAAGAAAGTCTGCAGAAAACACAAACAAAGTCTGCCTGATCTATACATCTTTTTCACATTGTCAGTGAACATTATTCATACTAATTCAGACCCACACACAAGCAATCAAGAAAGAAATGGAGAAAATAAACAAAGACTTAAAGACAAACACTAAAAAAATCTAAAAATAGAATCTTTTTACTGAGGAAAAAGAAACACAGACGTAAGTCAATCAAATAGTCTTGCCTCGTTTTATCAGACTGTTTTTCTGGTTCACCATTCCTTCATTGTTGGTACCAATGTTGGAAATTGAAAATTATTTTGTTGAGTGATTTATATCAAAAAGAAGCTTCAATCTTGTTCCATTCCAAAGTTTTCCAAAATTTATTTACAATTTTTTTTTACCAGATAACTTTTGATACTGCTAATATATATATTTTTTTCAGCCACTTGTCATTTTTCTTACAAACTATATTTTTGAATGCAACAATAAAGACTGAACTGTAAAGCAATAAGCAGTAATCTATCGTCAAAAAAAAAATTTTTTTTT